CCCCGGGCTTCCTGGAATCAGCCGCTGATCAGTTTCAGCAGCAGCTGACTTGGAGATGCCTGGGGTTCTTAAGTTGAATCTGTATGTAAGTCAGAACTGGCGTCCAGATTCAGCGGCTGAATCTGGACGCCAGTTCTGACTTACATACCGATTCAACTTAAGAACAAACCTACAGTCCCTATCTTGTACGTAACCCGGGGACTGCCTGTATTTCATTTTCTGAGCATTTCTGAAAGTCAACTTAGAGTTTTGACTATTCAAAACTTTTCCATATTGCTCTGTGACATCTGTTTCTCCCTATGAATTAAAGTGCCTTTTATTCTGTTTTTTTATTTAGGGTTTTTTTCTCTTTATATGAGAGATTAAAAAACAATTTGTCTTTTCAGTTTTTGTGACACTGACAAATGGATATTCATTGTGCTTTAACTACATAGGTTCTTTGTGCGTTTCTTTAGTATGAGGCCTTCTGGAAACTGTCTTTATGAAGGTCAGGAGAACAATAGTTATTTCATTAAAATCATTAGCCTTTGTTCAGCTGCTCCTATAACTTTTAAGAGGAATCTATTATATGTGAGTTACCTGCTTTTTTTCCCCCCTTAAAGTAACCTCATATACAAATCAGATCTGTTCAACCTATTCTCCTTTCTGATTGCATTTTCTAGAGGCATAATAGAGTTTCCCATTGTGGGACCAACAACCCTCCGTAAACAAATATCAGATATTCTACTAATTTTTTGTTGTTGTCTTTTTCACATCTAGATTAAATAATTTATTATTTCAAACAAAAACAACCACTCCAAAGTACCCAAATAGGTTTCTTACTACAGCAGCCATTTCAAATAAGACCTCAAGTACTTTCAGTTTCAGAAAGTCATGAAAGGAAGGCAGTTGCTAGCCTGTTATAAGGCGGTGGCTTTTAGAACCCCAGCTTACCTCTTCCTGTCAGAATGAAATTGAGGTTTCTCTTTGTGCATAAGCAGCTATCACATTAACCTCTTGACTTTCAAAACTGTATTTTTAATAATCACTCATCTATTCTTAACTCTGTAACTTTATTATTGTCAGATTGCTCAGTTCCTATAGATTTCATGGTGGAATCTCTATTCTTTCTAGTTTTAGGAGAAGTGATTACCTGTATCAGCGGTTCTCAAACTTTTTGGTCTCCAGAGCCCTTTACATGCGTAAAAATTTATGTGGCGCCCCAGCGGTCCACTGATTGTATGTGTTGTACCTATCGATGTTTCCATTTGTCAACCTCATGGAGCCCCTGAAGATGTCTCGTGAAGCCCTGGGGCTCCGCGGAGCACAGTTTGAGAAACACTGACCTATATGATATAGTGAAAGATTTGTTCCACAAATACCCCAGATTCTTTTTTAAGATGTCTTTAGTCCCCAAAGAACAAAGACTACATTCTATATTAGACTTTGAGAGACTAAAGCAGTAAAATATAAGCAACACATCAGTATTGTTGTTGCTCAGTAAGTCATCTTAACAGTGCATCTCCATACATTTTCCAGAGTTTTTAGAGATGTGAAAGATTCAGAGTAAAAAATTCCCCTCTTTTGGAATAGAAAGCCTCAAACAAAGCAGAATTGCTAGGGTCCTGCCGCATAGGGGAAAGCTCTGGAAGCGTCTGCATGGCTGTCTGAATCATGGGCCTGACTCGTCAATTGAAGTAGACATGGCTGTTCTGAGTCAAACCATGAGGTGTTTAGAAATATTGTTTTTCTCCTGCTGCCCCAACCTCTCTTAGAATCCCTATGGAAAGTTCATTTACTCAAGCTTTTCTCAGGAAATGGGTTTAAAGATTCTGTTTTAAAGGTGTTCCCTAAATAGAAGCTGTGTTGGTTCTTGACTGTCATTGCACTCAAACAAAAATTCCTTTCACACCTAATACTTCTATGAGATGAAATAATAGGTACTATAATAGAAACAAGGTACTTGAAAACATAAAAACTGTCAATTCAGTACTGTGTGGTGGTGTTTTTTTCATTACATTACTAAATCCATATGAACAAATGTAGGAGAATGTACATTTGTTTAAATTAGAAAGAGAAGTCCATTATTGTTATAATATCTTATGCTTGCAGGGCAGCCAACAGATGTCTCCAAGCCCTTGGAAGGCAGGACCTCAGGCTGAAGGGGTTAGATTGGGAGCTAACTTCCCCCAGTCAGCTCTTCAGTGCCACTCGGTGTATGTCACTTGAGGCTCCACTGGTGATTTAAAGAGCGAATTGCTCCAGCCGCACAGGCCAGGAGTCCTGGGCCCTTCTAAATCACCGGATCCCAAGGCAGCTGCCCACTTTGCCCTCCCTACCCCACTCCATCAATGGGGCTGGCTGTCTATTAAAATAACAGTACAGTAGAGTCCGGATTATCTGACCTTCACTAATCCGACATTCCACTTTATCCGACATAGCCGGCTCCTGAAAGCAAAACTAAAACCCTGCGCTGCCCCCAGCCGCCTGCCATATGACCTGGCCCATTTCTCCTTCCCCAGCTGCTGACGTCCCTGCTGCTGCTGCTCCTGCGGGCACCACTCAGTCCCCATTCCTGCCTGGCCCCTTCCCTCCCTGCAGCCCCCAAGCGTGGGCCAGGAGAATGGCCCCGCGTGCTGCCCTGTCACTCCGGGCGCTGCAGGGAGGGAAGAGGCCACGCAGGAATGGGGACCAAGTGGCGCGGCAGGAGCAGCAGCAGCAGCGCCTGGAGCGACGGGGCAGCGTGTGGGGCCATTCTCCCAGCCCGGGTCCGGGGGCTGCAGAGAGGGAAGGGGCCAGGCCACTCTAATCAACTACTGTACAGGTAATCCCTATTATCTGACGTTTTCGTTAATCCGACCACCTGTCGGTCCTGTTTAGGTTGGATCATCGGGACTCTACTGTACTCTTAACATTACTTGTGATGACAGTGTTGTAACAAATCCATCATTAAGCAACAGACTCTTGTGTAAAAGCGTGATTGGCTTTTAACTCAGAATAATTCTGTTACTTAACACCTTTAAAATTAATGTTAAGATCTATGTGTTTGTGTTCTCATAATGAGTTAGGATAATTCGGATGCTTATTATCCCCCTAATATTGGAGACAGGGATTCCTTCAGTTTGGAGATGATAGCCAGAGGTTTCTAATTAGAGAAGTGTGGACTTGAGGTTCCCTTGGTCTGTCTGGCAGTCTTTTGAGATGAACCATTCTTCCCCAGATTTTGGCAAAGTATTGTATGCATGGTGCCTCTTGGAGAATATCTTACAGAACATGAGAAAATGAAAGTTTTGTGACTACATAAACACTGTAAGGCCTTATGGAAGAGATTTCTTCTTCGGGAATTGATGGAGGCCCCTCCAGACTTGAGTCCACTTTGGCCTATCCCTGGTTGTCTCTAGGACACAGCCCAGGCTTTAGCTCTTAGCACTAAGGGAGAATCCAGAGAGAGGCAGCTCCTACTATGCTCAGCAAACTGTTTTTCTTTCATTTGTTACTATCTGGAGATCTGCACAGACAGATATTAACACTCTGATTTACTTTTTCTGCAGGCTGGAATGAAATATAGAAACCTTATTCTGAAACCTGGAGGATCTTTGAATGGAATGGAATTACTTCAAAATTTCTTACAACGTAAACCAAATCAGAACGCTTTCTTGTTGAGTAAGGGATTAAATACTCAGTGAAGCAACAGATCCTTTCAAATGGTACATCATCAAACTGAGCAGCTTGAAATATCAGTGTATTTCATGCCTTGCATATAAAATTTGATTTTAAGTCACACAGAGCTACTAACACAGTGGAAGAACACAGTCTAAGATACTGTATTCAAATTTGTATAGTGATTCTTATTTCTGAATTGATACAAATTAATCTAGAAAAATACTGATTTATATTTCTCTTAAAAAGACAAGGTTGAATTATTATTTGAAGTAATTTAAAAATGAGGAAAATATACATTCCCCAAAATTAAATAATGTATTCATTTTTATTCCGCAGTTTCTTTTATTGTACTGATAGTTAACGGACATCTACTGTCGAAATTAAACTCTTTTCAGTGTGACTTGGGTTTAACTTGCTTCCAGGCAGAAGATAGAAGATTAAGACCCAGGAGAGGACTTTTGCTCCCCAGTGTGCTTCTGGATGAGATATTTGCATCAATGACACCTTCATCTTTTATATTGAACTATTATCATATATCATGTAATTGAAGAACTTCTCTCCCAATTTCAGTTGTCTCCTGTGTTGGGTGAAACAGGTGAAAAAGCTAAGATCTTTGTAGTTCTATTATTATCTTCCTTTTTTTTTTCTTAATCTAAAGCTTTATACTAGGTTACCATCCATCTCCTTTTTATTCTTTCACTCATACTGGCAATCACTAGAAAGTAATACTTGCACAATTATAATAATTGAAATTATTCTGAAAAGTCTTTCATGATATGTAGAAAAAATCAATGTATGTCTGACAAATTTTAGTAGATGGTGAAAATCAATCCAAGAATGGTTTATATGTACCCTGAATCTTACTAGTTCTTTCTAGGGTGCAGGAGAAGATTCTGGCCTGGGGGAGGGATGTAGGAGCGAGTGCAGGGTATGGGAAGGAGTTGTGACTTGTGGAAAGGGGAACAGGTTTGGGTGGTGACCTGGGGCAGGGGATTGGTGTGCAGGATCCAGAAGGGGTATGAGTGCAGGAAAGGATTCTGGCCTGGGGGAGGGGTGTAACAGGAGGTGAAGGGTCTGGAAGGTTGTTGGGGTGTGGGAGAGGATGGGGTGCCAGAGGCAGGCTCTGGCCAAGAGATGCTTGCCTAAGCAGCTCCTGGCCAGCAGCACACTCAAGCAGGCTTCCCTGCCTGCCAGCAACCCCCAGCTCACTGTTCCATGTGGCTGTTGATACTACAGAGGAAGGCTACATGTGCTTCAGAGGGAGGCTTCATATTGGCTGGTTGAGATATTTTGCTGAGGGTGCGGGGGGCAGCACAGGGAGCAGCTAGCTGCTTTGAATGGCACTGCGGCTAACACTCTGCTGAAGGGATGGATAGACCCGATTAAAAGGCTTGATGGGATGTATCTTGCCTGCTCCTGGAATAAGTGCAAAGGCACTCATTCTTGGAATATAGAGAGGCATTGCTCTTATCTTCCAAACTGGCCATTTCTTAGATATTATCAAACTACCAGAAATCTCCTTGTTACTAACTTACATTTTTACACATTTGAACATTTCTTTGTCCGAACGGGAGAATGATGCAGAAACATTTATATGAAGTTCCCCATTTGGGACTCAGCTATTTGTCAACTTTAAAACTTGACATAAGACATGCTACTGAATCACAGCCGCCATGGATATGAAAAGACAAATGTACCCAAAAAAGGAAAGCATTATTACATTTAAGCTACCCATATTCAGATCCGAATACATAGAGATATTAGGAAGTCCAATGGTGGTGTTTGTGAAGCATTGATAACCATAGAAATAGTAATTTGTCAAACAGAGTGTTCCCTCCTTGTCCCAGAAGAAAATCCAAATTATTTCACTTTGTCCTATCATGCTGTCCAGGGACATCCGCACTCTTTTTGAATATTGAGCATACTAAATACATGCATTGATCAACCAAGAGATCAAACCTGTGATAACCCAAGTTTTGGTTTTAATGTGTCTTTTGGGATTTAAGAATAGTGCCATCATAAAGGGTATGTCTACACTGCAAAGTTAATTCGAAATGACAGCTGTTATTTCGAATTAACTTTAATAGCATCTATACATGCAAACAGCTATTTCAAAATCAATTTGAAATAGTGGAGCGTTTAATTCGAATTTGGTAAACCTCATTCTATGAGGAGTAACACCGAATCCGAAATAGCTATTTCGAATTAAGTGCTGTGTAGACACTTAATTTGAAATAGGGGGCCTCTAGCCCTTCCCAGGGAGCCCTGGTGGCCACTCTGGGCACAACCAGGAAAACTTACTCTCCTCTCCCCCAGCCTCAGAGCCATTAAATGGGTAGACTCTGGCCACAGTGCCTGTGCCAGCTCCAAGCCTGCCAGCCCAGAGCCAGCAGTGGCCACTGGGGCCCCTGACCCAGGGGCCCCAAAACATGAGCCAGCAAGCCTCTGGCAGCCAGCCCTCCCCCACTCCCCAGGAGCAGTCTGCCAGCTCCCAGGAGACTGACGGGCTGGAGAAGGTAGGTGCCTTCCTGGTCCAGGGTGGAGATCATGGACCAGGAAGCCCCACTTATTCAGGTTTGGGGGGAATGCCCCCAACGCCCATGGTCTCTGCACTAGACAGAGGAATGTGGCCGTCTATGGCAGGATATCTGCCAGCCTGGCCACCAAAGGCCACATGCGAACCCAGGACCAGGTTTGCATGAAAATCAAGTTGGTCCGGCGAGACCACCAACCGTGGGCCTGAGCTTCCCCTCCCCCTTCTTCCCCTTGCTTCCCCCCTTCCAGCTCCCTCCTCCCAGGTTTCCCCGTCCCCTCTCCCATCCTCTCTCTTCCCCTCTCCTACCTCCTTTTCCCAGTCTCACCAGAGGTTCATCCCCCTCCCACCACCAGTTTTGTTCAAGAAACCCAGTTTATATTTTTAAACATACGTGTTTTTGGTTTGACATCAGAAAGGGGGGCTAGGGAGGGGTAAGTGGAAGGACGTGAGGGAGAAATGGGGCACGAGCCCCCAGTGGGGAGGACTGGGGTGGCTCTGAGGGCTCCTTGGGGTGGACGCTCTCCCGCAGGGCCCCCTGGATCCTGACAGCCCCCTGATGGACCCCTTGGGTGGCAGCCAGCAGAAAGTGCAGCCAGCCTGATGGCAACAACCCCACGAGATGCACCGGCATGCCCAGGGGCAGCTCTGGCTCCATGTGGCCAAGTGCTGTGGTGTCCTGAGTGCGGGTACTCAGGTCACTCCAAGACAGGACTGCTTTGCTGTCCCTCATCGAGGTAGACAAGCAAGCGGGGAACCCTGAGAACTGTCCGTCTGGGGTGGGGGTAGGGTCCCTTTAAGCACGGAGCTCAGTTAGCCTCAGGCAGCAGCCCCACACACTAAGTCCTAACTGATGCCCTGCCGGCACTGGTTCTGGCCAGCCTTAACTTCGGTTCATGGTCCACTCAGTGTGGACACGCTATTTCAAAATTGCAAAACACTATTTTGAAATAGATTTTGTGTATAGATGCATTATTTCGAATTAGCTGAATTCGAATTAACTATTTCAAATTAAGTTAACTCGAATTAACGCTGTAGTGTAGTCATGCCCACATATATTTATGCTGGTCAGGAGGATATCTCAGACTTTTCCAAGCTAAGATGTGAGCTTCCTCTGATTAGCTTTCACTATGGCAATTATATAGGCAAAACCTAGAAACTACCTTGATCTATGTGACTTGAATCAATCTTTTTGTTTCTCTATAAATACTAATATGAACTTAGCCAATTAGTTTTATGCCCTAGTACTGTACATGTGCATGCAATTTCATATGTGAGAAACAGTTCTATACTAATATAGGCATCCTGAGGCAATTAAGGCAAAGCTGTCTGGTAAGCCTTAAATTCTGTCTGGATTAGTGTCTCTTAAATTCTAACTGGATTTGTAATAAAATACTTTTTCTTCTTTCTATTTCTATTAAGGTGGCAGTTATTGTTAAAAGAATTTTAAAATATGCACTGTAGAATTATAAAATTCTTATTAATAGAAAAAATAACCACTGACCAATGATGCTTTTCCAAACCGAATCCATAAGATTTTGAATAATGGAAGATTTATCAAAAGACAAAATGTAATTTTCCTTGTCAGTTTGTTAGAGAGATTTCCACATGAGGGAGACCTTTCTCTGTATAAAATACAAAGGTTTCAGCATTAAGAGGTTTGTGAATACAATGCTTATAAACAAAAATATGCTTATGATTAAATAGTTGGAGAGATTTAGACAGATTTTTAAATATTAAAATCTGTTAAAGACACAATTTGCTTTTGGTGTAAATAGTTTAACTGTCTTGCAGGCTTTTCTGCTAGTCCCAAAAGGCTCTACCATACATGCATAAGAACATAAGACAAGCCATACTTTGGTCCATGTAGCCCAGTATCCTGTCTTTCCACAGTGGCCAATGCCAAGAGCTTCACAGGGAAAGAACAGAACAGGCCATCACTGAGTGATCTATTAGCCATTAATTGATCTATCCTCCATGAACTTACCTAGTTTTTTTTTTATCCCTATTACAATTTTGGCTTTCACAACATCCGTTGTCAAAGTGTTCCAGAGGTTGTCTGAGCATTGTGTGAATAAGAACTTCCTTTTGTTTGTTCATTAATTTATTGGCTGACACTTAGTTCTTGTGTTATGAAAAGTAAATAACACTTCCTTTTCTCCACACAAATTTTATAGACCTCTGTCATATCCCCCCCCCTTTGTTGTCTCTTTGCCACATTAAAGTGTCCCAGTCTTTTTAATCTCTCCCAAATAGAAGCTATTCTACACTCCTAATCATTTTTGTTGCCCTTTGGTTTATCCAATTCTAATACAGGCAGTCCCCGGGTTACATGGATCCGACTTACATCAGATCCCTACTTACAAACGGGGTGAGGCAACCCCGCACTAGCTGCTTCCCCCCAGCAGACCAGGGAGACGCGAAGCTAGCGTCCCCCCCAGCAGACCAGGGAGACGCGGAGCGGCTTTTCTCAGCAGACACCTCAGCTTGAGAATAAAGGACTGAGGGAAGTGAGGTGTGGAAGAATAAAACTGAGCTCTGGAGAAATGTTTGGCTAGAGTTTCCCCTACAATATGTACCAGTTCCGACTTACATACAAATTCAACTTAAGAACAAACCTACAGGCCCTATCTTGTACGTAACCCGGGGACTGCCTGTATATCTTTTTGAAAGAGAGAGAGAATGAACAGATCTGCTTGCAGTATTCAAGATTCAAGGCATATCATAGATTTATATGGAAGCACTATATTTTCAATTTTATTATCTATCCCTTTCCTAATAGTTCCTTACATTCTATTAGCTTTTTTGGTTATCACTGCTCATTGAGCAGATATTTTCAGATAATTTTTGACAGTGTCTCCAAGATCTCTTTCTTGAGTGGTAACAGCTTCATTTTGTATATATAGATGGGATTATATTTTCCAATGTGCATCACTTTGCATGCACATTCTGTTTTTCTCAATAGGATTTAGCTTCCAATTTTTAAAGAATGATATTTTGCTTTTAACCAATTCTTTACTTTGTTGTTTAGCCACCATGGTCCTTTTCTGGTCCCCTTAATATGTTTTTAAATGTGGGAGTATACATTTAATTTAAGCCTCTATTGTGGTGTTTTAAAAAAGTATCCATGCAGCTTGCAAGCATTTCACTTTTGGCACTGTACCTTTTAATTTCTGTTTAATTAGCTTCCTAATTCATTAATTTCCTAATTTTTGTGACGTTCCCCTTTGTGAAATTAAATGCAACTTTGGTTATTAAATGCTTGGTTATCTATATCTAAACTGGGGGCAAAATTTTGAACCCAAATTCATCAGCAGTGCAGGAAGATCTTTACATATGTATAGAATTTTCACATATGTAGGGAGAATGGAATCTGAGCCAAGATGTGCTCAGCAGATAGGAGAAACAAACTGTGGTCCCATAGGTCCCACTCCTGCCTCAAGGAAGTCTGTAGAGGTTTTTGCCAATGAGTTCCAGGGGTAGAGGCTCAAATCATTAGGTCGGTATATTCAAACCTGCGTGCCAAAAGTTAGGCACTTGATGAATCATCTAATTTCAGAAATAATAAGCACCCGTGAATCCCACTGACCTCATTTCAGAACATCTGAAAATCAGGACATGTGTTTAGGGCTTGTCCACAAATTACTGTGCTGAGCTTTCTTGCTCAGGGGGGGGGAATCATCCCCTGAGCACAGCAAGTTTCAGTGCACCTACTTGCCAGTTTAAACAGGCAACCAGTGCTAGGAGCACAACCCTTATGGAGGTGGTTTTCCTAAAGTGAAACAACTCTCTCTCAGCACTAGTGCCATGACTATACTGTGTTGAAACAAAGCCTTGGGTAGCTTTCTTTGTCGCCTAAGCCTATAATACAAAGCTACCTGCTGAATTTGTACTTCCTCAATGAAGTGGTATAATATATCTTTTTCGAAATTTTTTTATGATATTCTCACTGAGCATTCATTTCTGGCATGTGCCAAAAAAATAGAAGTTTTAGCTATCTTAGAGAGCTTGTTTGGCTTCTCAATCCAGAGTTCTAAAGTGAAGTGAAACAAATGAGACTGTAAAAATATTGCTGTTATCTTTTCTACCATAATCTGGCAATTATGATAAAGACTGGTAATTTCATTGAGCATGGTCTTGCAGAAAAACACTGGTATCCTTCTATGTTGCTGCAAGTGGCTGGTTCTCCAATAGGAGATGACATGGCTGCTTGTTCTTTATAGACAAGTAAAAGAAATATCCATTTGTCTGCCACAAGATAATGTGTCTCCTGCTCTTCTTATCTTTTGTTTCTAGCAACAGGGCTTCATGCTGTTCCTGCCAGCATACCATTTAAACTTAATTTCCTATCAATACTTTTTTCCATGCTCTCATGATACTCAAAAGATTATTCCAAAGCTAGTTACACCACATCATATTCTTCTGAAACAATTTATACTCCCTTAATACTATTTAACATCAGTGCCTGATATTGCTTCATTGAAGCAATTGTATGACCATGTCACATTTTTCTGAGATGTGCTCACACCTCATAAGAAAACATGCAAGATGTGTGGGATCACAGAGTAGAAAGGACCTGT